CGGGCTGCATCTCTTGTGAGCTGGGATGTCATACACGAACGTGCCACACGTGTAACACTTCTTGAGTCCGGTACCTGCCTTCGGACACTTGTCAGCCATATGGTCCCAGTCATCACAGTTGAAGCAGCGGAGACGGTCCTGGGGCCAAGAGGCAGTCAAAGCTGCCCTCGTGGGGCGACCTCCAGTGGCTTCTGCTAGGCCTTCTGACTCGACCTTTAACATGTACGACATGAGGTTTTCATATGTCATACCCTTTCCATCTCTGCTTTGCATTTTAAGCGTGAAGTCTGTCACCTGCACGCTAGGTACCGCTCCGATTACGGCAGTATAAAAGGCATCTCGCTTTTCTTCTTCAGAAAAGGGACCAGACGTACTTATAGTCTCATAATTTCTGACCAGTTCCTCAAATTTTTCTATGAATTTGGCAACCGATTCTTTCCCTTTGTAAAATTTAATTTCATGCAATTTTTTACGAATCGCGGCCGTTGTAAGGGGCGTCTCCCCCTTCTTAAGTTCTTTCAGACTTTCCAATATTACAACCGGATCTTGCAGACGAAAAGTTCTTAAATGATATTTTTCCGTTACTCTACTTAATAAAATATCTCTGACTTTTAATTTGTCTTCTTTGATCATGTCTTCGTTAATAAATTCCGTATTTTTAATCGAAGAATCAATGACATATAATAACCCTTTAGACCGGAGTTCAGACTTAAATTTATCGAGAAAAACTTCGAACTTCATATCTTTAGACAGATGGTAATTGTATATGTGTTGAGTATCACGGCCGAATTTATGTATTTGACTGATGGTTGTCGCGAGAAGTTCCGCGCTGCCTTTTGACAAATTTTCATTTTTTGTGTCATTCAAGAACGTTTTCAATTTGTCTTGCAGACTCACCCGTCTTCTGTCGTTGCGAGGAGTTGATGACTGCAGGGGTGCCCCGGTTGACGATTGGGCCTCGGATGACTCGACCCTGTTCACCCGCTCGCCCAACCGGGACAACCTCTGGTCAAAATTGCGCATGACCAGAATTATCTCCTCCCTTGTTCTCTCAGCTTCCTGCCTTTCTTCCTCTGCCTTCCTTGCCCGTTCTTCCTCTGCCTTCCTTGCCTCCTCGTTTGCTTTCTCCTGCCTTTCGATCATCTGACTAATCGCGGCCATTATTGAGTCGAACCTGGCCAGCATGATGTTTTCTGAAAAATTTTCATTTTTCTGTTTATCTGCCATATGCAACTTCGTTTTGCTGACGTTTAACCATTTATATTTGTTTTCAATGGTTTGCACTTTCTTTATTTTAAGTTGGGTATTTTCCGGTGTGCGCGACGGGGAAGAGGGGGCTGCTTCGTGTACAGACTCATTTCCGCCTAATTTCTGCCAAAGATTTTCACTGTCTACATTTATCTCATCAAGGTTTCGGACTTCTGACATTTCGGACTTTTTCTCATCTGACATTTTAAACACATCGACCGACTTTTCAAATAACCCGGGTTTATCACGAGCAGGTTCCTCGCATTCCCCGTCTTCCCTGAATAGATTTTCTGGCAACGTCACTTTGCCTCCCTTTTTACATAGAAATTTAACGATGTATTTGTAATCGTCACCGATCAGGTAATCTAAAACAAAAGACGGACATTGTTTTCAGGGAGTCAACTAGAAATCGACCGAACGCAAGCCGAATCTAGTCAACGTGGCCCGAAGCGTGTTCTCGTGCTCGAACACAAAGCACGATTGCACGCTGGGCACTCACACAGCCGCGCGCGACCGAACACAAGTCTAACGTGACTGTGCGAGTCACACGGAAAATAATTTCGTTTACACACCTTTGGCGGGAATATCCCTTTGCCCGACACATGCCATTATTCCCCTTTTATCCACCAACAAGATAGCAGCTTGTTGTCGTCCTTCTGACTTGACTTGGGATGAAATTCCCCGACATATTCTCGACAGAGCATCGATAGTTTGCTCGTCTAAAAGAAAATGTAAACTTTTAAAATATCAGCCTTTTCTGACTAAATCTGAAAACCGCCTTGAATATTTATTGCCTAGAGTTCAATTAATTAAAAGCACCGGGAAAGGACATATATAATTTTCTGCCGACACACGTTCAAACTTTCCCAGTTCGGACATTTATATAGTAACGCGCACACAACAGTCGAGGTGATAAGAACAAGAGACGCGAGAAAGCACGAAAACAAAACACAAACGGCCTCGTAATATATTTTCAGTCAAAAAGCCTCGCGTCATCACGAGAGGGAGAGAGAGAGACCGAACTCTCTCCTCAGCCGCAATATGTTGTCCCCCTCTCGATCCGCCCCGCTCTTGCATGTGCGTGTCGCGCTACCGACGCCACGTGTTTCTTGGAATCCCGCGCATTTCTCAGAATGCACAAGAAAACCCCTTTTTACCTGACGTCGTATCGTCCAACCTAGGCATCACTCAAAAAAACAAAGTGTTGACCTACCGCTGATCTCGGTTCCGGCGTCCGGTATTGCTCCCCTTTCCTCGACCGGCGTCGACAGCGCATGGTCGACAACGGACTCGGCCTGGTAACCAGGGGTCACGCTCTCGGCCGCTTCCTCGATCGCACTCTCTTGTCCATCCTTTGCTGCCTCAGCCCTTTCCGCCATCCTCTCTTTTGTCACACTCACCCACACAAAAAAAATAAAGAAGAGATCACGCGCGGTGATGCGAGTCTGGGGCCCGTAACCTGAAGAGGTGTGAGTAAAGGAGGTGCGCGAAATAATAAAACGAGTATTACAAGTTAGACAAAAGTTTATTTAATAAAACTGCCGACTGACGTAGAACACACCAGATACAATTTACAGACTTTACGGACTTACAACCGACTTATCAGACAAAGACAATAAAGCTAGAACCGACGAAAGGTGTAGAAGGCACGGTTGCTTGCACTGTACTGACTACAGGGCCCGCAAGTATCACCTTGCCTGTGGCGCTGTCTTTCACACTATATATACTGCCTATTTAAAAGTCGTACATGCCAACAATAAGTAAAATTCAAAATATTTATCGAACTACTAAAAATTTTAAAGATTACAGATTTACACTTAGTTATTGAAAAAATAACATTATGAAACCACCAATAATTCACAATTTGTTTTGAAATAGTTATTAAAAGCATATCATTAATTATAGATTGAGTTTATAATTTAAAGAGAAATTCAGTAATTATTTGAAATTTTTTTGCTGAGATGTAAAATTTTTAAAGGAGTAAAAAATTAATATTTGTTTGAATTAAGAACTTCAATATTTTTCTTAATTTTTTTCAATGGACTACTGAAAAATGCTATTATTTTGAGAAAATTAAATTTTCACATTAAAATTTTATTAAAATGCGATTGTAAAATTCAATCACGAATTTGTAAGAATACTTCAAATACATTTTTTTAAATATGCCTCCGAAATTTTTAACAGTGTACTTACCAGCAGTGTATCTAAAAGTAGCATCCAATCCAGCAGGAAATTCAAAAATGTATTTCAACCCCTCCCCCTCCCCCCTTCACTTTGGTTGAGTAAGTCATGACATTCATCTCACATACAAAAAATCAACTAGCCATGATTGTAAGTGCTTACCTCAGCCTTCGCACGAACTTTAAAAAGTTGCAGGACACTAGCAACAATTAAAACTTGATTTACAACAGACACATGCCAGTACTTGATGGAAGTTCAGATTGGCTGTTTCATACTGTCATACTACTTTACTTCCCAGGAGTTTTTTTACTTGTAGTGTTGAGTGAACTTCAGGGAAAGTGATCAAGTATAGTGGAGTCCTTTATTGATGCAGACAGGGTCTGGGAACAATCTATTGAAGCAGTAAAATATGATTGACGTACTTCAGTTTTAGAATCAAAGCCCCATGATGGTATATAGGCAATAAATATTTACATATAATTATTATAACCATAATTATTTGCCCAATTAACTATTTTTAATAATTATAAGTACCTTCTATAATAGCTGCTCTCCTGTATTATTGGCATCCTGCATTATTTTTTAGCTTATTTAATTAAAAACGCACGCATGCCCAGTGCCTACAGATGGCATATAGGCACTTCCGTAAGTAACTGATGGGCTGGGGATATTCTTTTATTGATTGAAATACGAATTTCTTTTCTGGTATGACTCGGCTTCCTTTATTGCGCTTTATTCTTGCACTGTTTTTTTTTCGTGACTAAGGTGATTTTTAAACTTAAGAACATCGATCACAGGTAATAAAGTGAAAGTTGATAGAGGTGAGAGAAACATGCATACTCGACCCCTTCTTTCTTGTTTTATTAAAAAAAAAACAACTTGTAGATATATTNAAAAGTATTATTAGATTGTGTATAGGCTGCCTACTGAGTACCTCCTGATGCGCTTACTTGTGTCTTTATTAGGCTGCCTAAGTAGGACCTCCAGAACGAATGAGGCAACTTATAATTTCACTCCATTTATATCATAAGCATTGAATATTCAACAAAGTATATTTTATTCCTACGCATTATTTACTGACTTTTTTAAAGTATCTTTAATCCATTCTGTAAGTATTTTTTTTTCCAGCGTCAAGCTGTACGTCGATTCCCTTCAGTTATTTTTTTTTATTTACTATCATTGCTTTATTTTACATTGATTCCATTCTTGCAATCGATTCTTCTATTGCTGAAATGATCTTAATTTTGTATTCAACCTGTAATATTTTTAACAAAATCTCTTTACAAAATCTCTTGGTAGATAATATATTGTTCTACCTTTTTGATGTCTTCCCAAATTTTATGTCAACTTACTTGCACTCATTTTATTTTCCCTAGGCGTTCCTTTTAATAATCTCTGTCCCAAAGTAATTCGTGTTTTTCATGAAATTTCTTACTTCGGTGCATTGATGTGACATACATATGCTTACATAAATATACAAATGTAAACGATTAGCTTTTGATTGAAAATATCAGATTTTTCCGTATGCATCCAGTTTTCAACTTTTATATGTATATTACTATTTGTTACAGATGCGCCAAGTGAGCAGTCCGTTTTTGTTATGTTGAATGGTGAGGAGAGCGAACTACGCTTTATCGACGTTACAAATATCAAGGTATGTCAGTTTTAGAGATAGTTGTACATACAGAGAATTTAACCAATAATCAAGTGGTCAAAAAAATATTGTTGCAAACACTTTGTACTTGGATTTTAAGTTTTTTATAGTCACAATACTGTCATCAGTTCATGGTTAAAAAATAAAATTTTTACTTTTTTATATCCTCCTTTCACGAAAAAATTGGAAAAAAAAAAAACATTGAGGTAATCGATATATTTACAGTTTTTAACACAGAATAATTTACATATATTCTTTAATCCTTTTAAATAAGAGTTTGTTTAAGAAATAATTGCTCATAAATTCAGTGAAACTCTCTTAGGCAAAACTTGCTAGGCTGATGATTGATTACAAAGAATACAAGTTATTTCCACTGAAAAAACATTTTAGAAATTCCTTAAATATTAATTAAAAACATCAAACTTACTTGACATTTTATTTTTATCAAAAAGTTAATGGTATGGGGACATTGTTTTTTAGGGAAACCTTTTGACCATAATGAACGATTGCCAAAGGATGACTCATGAAATTACGGAATGTGAACTACCTAAAATAGGCAATTCTCGCTTTATTCAAGCTACTTCTAAATGTAAAATTGAGATTTTTTAAAAGTAAACATATAAAAAAAAAAGGGTACAGTAAAATCAGCAGCAGTTTTGTGGGTATATTTTTTGCTATTTCGAATATATGCTCGATGTTCCAATGATAAAAGACTTATTTTGTTTGTTTATATTGAAACTGAAATTTTCTTCTCCACACATTAGTAAAAAAATAAAACAAAAAAACGATAATTACTTAAACATGCTAAGTACTGTAATTTTAGGGATTTGAAAAACGGAGAACTTCGTATAGAATTTACTTGATCCCCAGTACAAAAGATGTTGTGATACACGAGAAAAACTGGTGACCTTGTTGGATGGAAAATTTTTAAAATCTGGGAGTGATTGCCATATCATTCCCTGACAACTGCAGCAGTATGGCTGGGACTGTTATCTTCTACCACGTATATTGGCTGATGAGGGTATCTCGCTGTCACTAATGGTAGAAACTATGTGTCTAGAGTATCGAGATACTGCTCTGCATTTAAGCATCGGACAACGTCAACTAGATATCCAGTTCCATCACCAGACACCCATCCCCAGAAAGCTTTCGTTCAACGTCCACTTGTTTCGTTGGGTTTTGCATATAACTCATGAAACCGAGTGTTGCTAGATTTTCAGACTCTTAGTCTTCCTAAACGATAAAAAATTTAAATTCGTTTTACATAACTGACAAAAATGCGCTGAAAATCGTCAATTTCAAAAAATAAAATATTGCAAACATTACCATCTTCAGATGCTGAGAATACTTTTTCGTCCAAAAAAACCGTGCATCTTCACTTCTCAACAGTTCTGTTTTGAAATCATTGTGCATACTGCAATCTCAAATTCTTATTGCGCTCATCTAAAGCACTTTTCGAGGCGGACCGACGAAGCTGTATGCCCCCTCTTTTTTTTGACGATGTCCGTAGTGTTTTTTCATTGACGTCAAGTTCAAGATCTATCACAACTTGAGTAACGGGACGAAACGAATTTTCCGCAATGTAACCAACTATCTGTTGTAAATCGTTATCAGATATTTTCAATAAGACGTGGTGATATTTTCGTCTGTCTGTTGTCTGTTCACCACCGTTCTGTTCCTTGACAAAACGCCTTCTCCATTTCCTTACACACTCAGCTGAGCAATAAAAATATCGCCATATTTCGCGATCTAAATGTTCTGCGTTTATATCTACAAGGCAGTGGTGCTCAAAGATTTTATTAAACCTTTCAAATTTTGCGCGTAACGAATCAATGTTCGTCAAGAGTCTTTGTGCTAAAAATATTCGTATCAGCAAGAGCTTTCGAAATCTAAGTGTTCTTTTCAAAAACAACATAACTCCATGGCCCATTATGAAGTAACGTAGTAACCAAATAAAGTAATCTTACAATATGATTTGTATGACTCGTTATGTCCTACCCAATAATCGATGCAATTGAGCGGTTTGGATGAGAATTTGTTAAGTATAAAGTAATAATTGCGTTGTTTCTTGACTTATCCTAGCTACATGGCTAAAAGCTCTGCTCTTGACGCACTACCAGCGAATGATAATGGTAATAGATATTCTGTTTGAGATAATTATTACCAAACTGACTTATTACCAAACTGACTGACTTTGATTACAGTTATATAGCTTCAATTTTACTTTGACGCCACGTAACGAATTCTTTTAAACTAAAGCTCCAAGCTATCACTATTATTTTGAGAAAATTAAATTTTCACATTAAAATTTTATTAAAATGCGATTGTAAAATTCAATCACGAATTTGTAAGAATACTTCAAATACATTTTTTTAAATATGCCTCCGAAATTTTTAACAGTGTACTTACCAGCAGTGTATCTAAAAGTAGCATCCAATCCAGCAGGAAATTCAAAAATGTATTTCAACCCCTCCCCCTCCCCCCTTCACTTTGGTTGAGTAAGTCATGACATTCATCTCACATACAAAAAATCAACTAGCCATGATTGTAAGTGCTTACCTCAGCCTTCGCACGAACTTTAAAAAGTTGCAGGACACTAGCAACAATTAAAACTTGATTTACAACAGACACATGCCAGTACTTGATGGAAGTTCAGATTGGCTGTTTCATACTGTCATACTACTTTACTTCCCAGGAGTTTTTTTACTTGTAGTGTTGAGTGAACTTCAGGGAAAGTGATCAAGTATAGTGGAGTCCTTTATTGATGCAGACAGGGTCTGGGAACAATCTATTGAAGCAGTAAAATATGATTGACGTACTTCAGTTTTAGAATCAAAGCCCCATGATGGTATATAGGCAATAAATATTTACATATAATTATTATAACCATAATTATTTGCCCANACATTGTTTTTTAGGGAAACCTTTTGACCATACTTTCTGTTTTCTATCGATAATAAAGAATACCATCGAAAAGAATTTATAGTCTCGTTGACTTGCTAATCTTGAGGCTATTGTAATAATCATTACCCAATCATCAATTTTTTTTTTTTTTTTTTTTTTTTTTTTTTTTTTTTTTTTTTTTTTAAGAAAAAAAACCATACGAAAATCATCTAGGAAGTATAAAGAATCTGTATGTAAAATTTCTTAAAAATTGGTTGAATAGTTTTCGCGGTTAGCGATTACAACGGTTTTTGGGGACTTTGCTTCATATACTAGTGAGATGAGATAAGAAAATATCATTAATCAGATCACGAACCGCATCTGGCCTGTGTAGTAACACGTACGTCATAAACAATAAAGTATTTCTAGTTTTGTTGAGCACGCAAAATTCACAGCTTAGAAAAAAAAGAGAAAGAAAGTGTTGTAGAGCTATCACGTTGACACTATAGACGACCGGTGATGGTGAAAATTAAATTCCACGCCTAATAAAGCTCCTCTCCCTTTCTCTCTCTATCTCTTGCTCTCTCTCCCATTCTTCCCCGTATATCCTCTGCACGTACCCGTGTACACGGTAGAATATACATCAAAGATCATGGAGATAGAACTCTCATGGTGGGTCCACTTTTTAGTAAAGGCAACAAGTTTCCAACATTTACCATAGACAGACGTGTATGGTGATTGTTATGTTTGTTTATTGTTTAATCGACATTAAGGCCGTTTGCTCACAATATAAAAGTCATAGACGTATTGCTCCAACATATGTAGATAAATAATAACTTTTTTAAGTAAATATGGAAAAAATTATTGAGTTAGTAAAAAAAATTGCTTAGACAAACCGGAGTATCTGTAAAAGTGTAAATAAATGATCACAGAATGTAAGAAAGTTCTTGAACGAATGCAACATTTTGTTAAAAAGGTTATCACAATCCTTACAGCAAAATAGGGATGTTTTTACCTCGCGTATCATATAGTTGTTGGTTTATTTCCCATAAATAGGATTTTTTTACATGTAGTAATTATTAATAATTGGAAGAGATGAAATTTTGATTTTGTGAGACAGAAAATCGATACCACGGGCAGTGTGCCCACAGGAACAAAATTGTACGATAAGAAAAGTCATATATGTGACTCGGGCACAAATATACAACCGCCCGTTACAAAGACCTAAAGGTATACTTTGATTCTTAGTTGGATTTTTACATATTTAATGAACGATTGCCAAAGGATGACTCATGAAATTACGGAATGTGAACTACCTAAAATAGGCAATTCTCGCTTTATTCAAGCTACTTCTACTAAACTTACTGATGGGTATCAACGCTATTTTTATAAACACTTATTTATTTTAAGAACTCATCTTTTTTATTTCAACATATGCTTCATCACGACTGATTAATTTTAATAATAATTAAAACTATTTTTACCATGCCTTCTTTCACAGTATACTGAATCATGAAGTTCAATCATGCACATAATGGTACACTAAAAGCATGGCAAAAAATTAAAAAATATTAAAAATTATCAGTAAACTAAGTTTATCATTGAAAATTCTATAAGCATAAAACAATGTTTAGCTTACATAAATCTTTATATATACACTACAAATACCTTTTGCGATTCCCGAAAATTTTCCAAAGCAGTTCGTAAGGATATTAATTTCTCATTTATGGATTTTAAATATTATTCTTGTACCAGCCAACGAACAGTTAATTAAATTTTGCAGGACTACAGTTACAATTACAGTATTGGTTGCTATTATTGTACATATCAACTATATGCTCTGGCTTAAATAGATAAATAAATTTATTGATATTATTATTAATAAAGAAAGTTATTAGGTTCAATGTAAATCCAACTATGGTAAAGTACACGTTTAAGTAGTAAATTTTCTGCAGTTAAAATTGCTGTTCTTTTATTAAATACATTACAGAAGTTTTAATAATAAAATAAACATTCTAAGAACTAATTTCACCAAATCTATTGTACAAAGCAATTTTTTTCTTCAACGATTGACATAAGAAGGCTGTATAGAGGAAAAACATTTCTGTCACAGATTTTACATAGCTGTAAGCGCATTAAATCTGTAGTAGCCAAGTTTTTTTACTCTAAAGCCTTCCTCTACTGATTTTCCTGGTCAAACGCGTTGGGTTAAGTAAAACTGATGAAATACTTGGTGCACATCATATTTAATTGGTCTAAAACATTTTTACCGACGCACCAGTAATCTATTTTATATAATATACAAATTTCAACGACACACTTTGAACGTGTCCTTTAACAAACTTGAATTTACAGTGTTCGTGTATTAATCAAGTTTGCTCTGGATTATTAGATTATTGGATTATTGGTCTTGCTCTAGTATATGAGAACAGTGGTGGTTGCGGTGGCATCGGCAAAATGATTTTAGTATATAATATTACGCATATGCACAAGGCAAATGAGAAGAATATTTTTAGTTTAAGACATTTTCCATGTGAGGATCAAACATCCTCTTTCCTTATTTTTTTTGTTGCTCCGAATTGTTATGAAGTTACCAGGCAACTATTTAATTTTCCGCCTTCGGGTGGTTTTGGGAGGCTGGTACTTCCTCGGGCGAAAAAGCAGTTTTCCGGAACTCGTTCGAAAAGTCTCCTTTACGAACCTCGTTACGGACCTCGCCTTCGGCTCGGGCCGCAAACCTCTCGGTTCGAAAACAAAGACTTTTCAAACTCGTAGGAAAACTACTACTTCTTATTTTCTTTTCTAGTTTTTCTCCCCTCCTGTGTGTTATAGTTTTATTATCTTTTTGGCTCACCATTGTCTTATTCTTTTCACAATATGTTTCCCTGATCATTTTAGCACATTTTCCCACTGATATCAACCACTGTTGAAAAAAAAAGTATTATTAGATTGTGTATAGGCTGCCTACTGAGTACCTCCTGATGCGCTTACTTGTGTCTTTATTAGGCTGCCTAAGTAGGACCTCCAGAACGAATGAGGCAACTTATAATTTCACTCCATTTATATCATAAGCATTGAATATTCAACAAAGTATATTTTATTCCTACGCATTATTTACTGACTTTTTTAAAGTATCTTTAATCCATTCTGTAAGTATTTTTTTTTCCAGCGTCAAGCTGTACGTCGATTCCCTTCAGTTATTTTTTTTTATTTACTATCATTGCTTTATTTTACATTGATTCCATTCTTGCAATCGATTCTTCTATTGCTGAAATGATCTTAATTTTGTATTCAACCTGTAATATTTTTAACAAAATCTCTTTACAAAATCTCTTGGTAGATAATATATTGTTCTACCTTTTTGATGTCTTCCCAAATTTTATGTCAACTTACTTGCACTCATTTTATTTTCCCTAGGCGTTCCTTTTAATAATCTCTGTCCCAAAGTAATTCGTGTTTTTCATGAAATTTCTTACTTCGGTGCATTGATGTGACATACATATGCTTACATAAATATACAAATGTAAACGATTAGCTTTTGATTGAAAATATCAGATTTTTCCGTATGCATCCAGTTTTCAACTTTTATATGTATATTACTATTTGTTACAGATGCGCCAAGTGAGCAGTCCGTTTTTGTTATGTTGAATGGTGAGGAGAGCGAACTACGCTTTATCGACGTTACAAATATCAAGGTATGTCAGTTTTAGAGATAGTTGTACATACAGAGAATTTAACCAATAATCAAGTGGTCAAAAAAATATTGTTGCAAACACTTTGTACTTGGATTTTAAGTTTTTTATAGTCACAATACTGTCATCAGTTCATGGTTAAAAAATAAAATTTTTACTTTTTTATATCCTCCTTTCACGAAAAAATTGGAAAAAAAAAAAACATTGAGGTAATCGATATATTTACAGTTTTTAACACAGAATAATTTACATATATTCTTTAATCCTTTTAAATAAGAGTTTGTTTAAGAAATAATTGCTCATAAATTCAGTGAAACTCTCTTAGGCAAAACTTGCTAGGCTGATGATTGATTACAAAGAATACAAGTTATTTCCACTGAAAAAACATTTTAGAAATTCCTTAAATATTAATTAAAAACATCAAACTTACTTGACATTTTATTTTTATCAAAAAGTTAATGGTATGGGGACATTGTTTTTTAGGGAAACCTTTTGACCATACTTTCTGTTTTCTATCGATAATAAAGAATACCATCGAAAAGAATTTATAGTCTCGTTGACTTGCTAATCTTGAGGCTATTGTAATAATCATTACCCAATCATCAATTTTTTTTTTTTTTTTTTTTTTCAAAACAATTTTCAAGAAAATGCGCCGCCTTTTTGGGGTACCCGTGATTTTGTTCAGTAGTTTTATGTCATTTTCAATTAAATAAGATCCATTCGGTAGACAAAATAAATGCTAATCTTCTGTGTATGTAGATGAAAAATCATTACTATGGCCAATAAAATAGATGACCATACTACAGCAGTACCCAAGTTTTTCTATGAATTTCTCTTTCTCGTGATACGTAAAAATACACAACCACACTAAAAATTATGAGCAAAATCAATTTAAGAATGACACAAAAAAAATTACGATGTAGTCGTTGGAAATTTCGAATTAATCATATAAATACTTATCATTAATAAATATCTATTATTTGGAGAAAAAATTTACGATTGTACTTATGATTTACACAAATAAACGGAATATATTGCACACCATAAAAATTCTTACATTTTCTTTAACAGTGGAGTGAAAAAAGGAGACTACACAAAATGTATCTTTCGTATTTCCACGAACTCTGATATCACGAAAACGAAATTAAACATAAAGGCAATGTACCATACATGCTTTCCTGTCTATCCATCCACTGACTATGTATTCACATATACTCGAGCTCAAGCTTGATTAATTTTAGATGTACAAACTCGTGTTTTTACTCACGTACGTTATGCACGTCAAAAATCTCCTTCAGTTATTCAAAGATACATTTTCTCCTCTTTTTATCTTTTTCTTCCTCTATGTATAATTAAGCTTTCTTTGGTGCGTATATGGGATACAGATTTCCTAATGAACTGGAAGATACGTGGCAACGATCGTATAATTAGTATATATACACTATTTAAACAGCGGAACAGGCGCTCTCACTATTTCAAAGTTGTAGACTTACAACTTTTTTTAACTAGTGAATATTGACTGAAAAATAGTAAGTTTTACAAAAGAAAGTGAGTATTTACTATTTCTATTTAGTTAAGGTTTCACTGTTTAAATTAGTTGGTAAACTTATTGTTGATACCACTTGAAATAATTTGTCTGGGTGTAGGCAATTCTCTTCATTTGGACCACGACCCCTTATTGGATTACTGATAAATATTTAGAATTAAAGTTTATAATAGCTAGGTGCTAGTAAACGACGCTAATTTTTTTACTATTTCAACAGTGAAAATCTTGTTCACTTACGCAAATAGTGAATTTTTACTACTTTAAATTCAGAGAGAAATTCAATAAATCTCCTACGGAAACAAACTCCTACAAACTTTAAAGTTAGCTAATCGAATAGTTTAAGTATACATATAAATAAAATTGAAAATATATATGTAAAATCTATGGTATTTTTGGTAATTAATAAAGATTAATATTTTTACAAACTGGCAATTAAAATTTATATTAATTTATTTGTAAGAATTTTTTCCTTTTCTTAAGCCAAAAACTATTTTTGTCTTGTAAACTACTGTACAAAACAAAAATGGTCAATAATCTATACACAACTAGATTTCTAGCTAATCCTCAGTACTTAATATTATGTGCATCTCATCTAGTAGGAAAAATCATGATTGACGTATACAGGTGTATTCTCACTATTACAACTTCCATACTGCTGTCAGTGCTATTCTCATTACTTTAGAGTAATGACCAAGTTCAAAGTTGATTATTTTATCGTTTATTACACAATACAGTGGAAAATTTTATATAAATATCTTTAACTTTCAATAGCAATACAATAAAAAAATTACCACCTAAATATCTTGGTTTAAAGATTTTCAACTTTAGGTGATCTAAAAAAAATTGCAAAAAAAAGTTATTTATTTAATTTATATTATTGAAACCGATTAAAAAAGAGGGTGGGCCATTTCAATTGACGTTCCTAAATAAGCCAAATACAAAATCGTTCTTAATACAAATGTTGTTCAAGATAATGAGGATATTGTAACATACTTTGATATTGCTTAAGGTTTTCTCTTGATATTCTTATTATTACAAGATTTTTTGAAGCGTTAATTTTACTTCTTGGATTAACAAGTTCGAAAAATAGTTGTTTTAGCCCGTAAATTTGATTTACAATATCTTGTTGATCAAGTAGAACTTCAAATGTTTTGTGTGTTTTTGCTAACTTCGAGAATTTTTCAAATGGTTCGTTGGAATCATAAAATCATTATTTTCATAATTAGTGTTGCTTGTCTATTATGGTGCTAGTAATTTTTTTACTATCGTTTGTAAATTTGCAAATCATATTTCTAGAGGCAGTAAGAGGAGAGTATGTTGGTTTAAAAAGTCTTATTTTTTGATGGTTAAGTAACATATCTCTCTAAAAAAGGAATTATACAGGTCGTCAATAAATTCTTGGAACGTATACATTAAATTTCAATATTCAGATCTTACGTAAACATTAAACATTGCCTTCTTCCCAGTATAACCACAAGCTCCCCATTTTATGAATACTTAGATGACTGAATTTTCAGGGACTTGCCGTTAGCGTTCACTGTTGACTTTTCTAATCAATCACGTATTCCTCCACTGTCTCGAGAGCGTCAGCAGTAGGTGTATACATATTAGTCCTGGGATCTGATTCAAACCGTCACTATACCGAATACTGTTCCAAATTGACAGTCACGAAAATAGATGTATAGCATGTACTGTTTTACCGACAGTCGGAAAAAACTATATAGATGTATAAATCATACTGTTACGTGACAGTCAATCTAGAATGGTATTCAGTACATTGACAGTCTGAATCAGATCCCTAGTATTTATACGTAGATACTCGATCTAGACTCAGGCAATTCACCGATTTCTCCCACACCTCAATATAAAAAATTTATTACGATTAAAAATGGCAATACTGGGTCACAATTAAAAGAGACCCGAAGTCAAACAAATACAGCCAGCTAACTAACTACCCACTCGAACGCAAAATATGATCAACTATGCCACGATAATGAATGTTAATGATTTTGCTGTTTGCAGGAACTCGACAAGATGGTGCCACAGCCTTGCGCTTACGTTGTGATGTACTCAGTTATAGACAAAGCGTCGTTCCAGCGAGCCGAGGATCTACTAACAAAGTTACATCAGATGGAGTCAGACATCAGGGGTAGGCCTGTCATCGTCGTAGGTAACAAGATTGACCTCGTGCGCACGCGCGTCGTCTCATCACAAGGTTCGTCTTTTTAACCTAACAATATAATTGGTGTTTTCCTTGATCTTACTTACCATGAAGTTCTCGTTTGATTTAGTTAGCTTAATTTATAAAATCTTATTGGATCCATAAAGGACAGTTTTACAACTACTACTTCTAACAGCTCGTTCTAAATTTTCAGGGTATTAGAGGATCAAAAGATTTTCTCAATATATTCAGTGACCCATAAATAGTTGCACTTATATAAAACGAAGTTGCCAGTACATAAAGTCTATATAGTAACTAGATGAAGAGGCACGTTCGAAAAGAACACGTTAGAGATATCTTTTTATTCACCACATATGATACTTTTCAGAGCTAAAAGATAAGAAAAAAAAGTGGTTGCAAGGCTATCCCGTCTTCTTTGCTACTATAAACTGTCCTCATAACATACTTATAATTGAACTTCAGTTAGACAGAGATTCGTTTAATTTTGTAAATTTGTTTTTACTTTTTTTATTGTTATCAGCCCATTATTAGTAGATACCTATATAAGGTGTAGTCAACGGTAATTACAGAAAAATGATATGTATTATCATAGTGTTGATTAGATTATTACAGTAAAAATATTAGTAAAAAAGTTTTTGCCACAAGTAATAGTTATCTGCTTCATTAGGCCAGAAAGTTTAATACGGAATAAAATTGAAATCTTCTTGAAACGACCACAATTCAACCATGAGGTGTATTCCATATATCTTCAGAAAGAGTGCGCAGTATAGGTTGAGTGCACTGAAGGAGTGTGCGTGATTAGTGTGAGTAAACTAGATGAAAACTACCCCATTAGATGAAAATCCAGACTGGGACAACAAAAAATTTTTTGTATAGATTTCGAGCCCAATAAGAAATATAACCACTTTAGGACACAAAAAAAATGTCAGCAAAAAGTCCAAAAAAAATGGTAAAAATGTCCAAATCAGGTTTTTCGATTCTATCGAAAAAGCTGTAATTCGTCCAAAAAAACGTTCTACATAAAAAAGATGCGCAATTTCAAGACGAACAAAATGAGCCCTAGGGAACCCAAATCGGCCTTACCGTTTTCCGCAACTTGCCAAAAAGTGCCAATTTCACCCTGTTTTTTGGTATTTCATAACTGGAGTTCTAATTAATATTTTGACTTCAAATCTTAACACAAAATGGGTTTCATGATTCTTAACAAACTTACAAAATTTTAAGATGATCGGATGCAAACGTTTTGCAAACTGTCAAATAAACTAAAAAAAGGTCGTTCCTAAAAATGGCTCTGAAAAAGTTGGTAGACCACATAGAGCCATATTTCAAAATGTTCTCTCTTAATAAGATATTAATCTAACCCTGGTTAAATTTCGTATCTTTTTTTTAAGTATCCTAAAAATGTATCGCGGTCGCGCTGGATTGAGCGCGCTGCCGATTTAGGCCACGCCCACTTCCTCGCAGCGCCATGCCACTCCAGTACCACCGCGGGTACTTTGCAAAAAAACACTATTTTCCGATAAATTTTTAGGGTACCTACGAAAAAGTTAGAGATACGAAAATTTAATAGTGTTAGATTAACATCGTATTAACAGAAAACATTTTGAAAAATGGTTCTTTGTGGTCTAACAACATTTTTAGAGCCATTTTTCGAAAGGACCTTTTTTTAGTTTATTTGATGGTTTGCAAAATGTTTGCATCCGATCGTCTTGAAATTTTGTAGGTTTGTTAAGAATCATAAAACCCTATTTGTGTTAAGATTTGAAGTCAAAATATGAATTAGAACTCTAGTTATGAAATACCAATAAACAGGGTGAAATTGGCACTTTTTGGAAAGTTGTGGAAAACGATAAGGCCAATTTGGGTTCCCCAGGGCTCATTTTGTTTGTCAAGAAATTAAGGTTTTAGTCCCTGTAAATCTTACTCAAACATCAATTTTTAATCAAGGTAAAAAAAAAGTAAAACAAAAATATGAAAACAAGCAAGAGATTAAATGTAATATAATAATTTACAAGAGTATATTCAACATTATATCTTTAAAAACTTTTTGTTTCAGTTTTTTAAAATTTTTATTTTTATTTTATTTTTTTTTTTTTGTCATTTTTAATTAAAATGTTTAATAAATGATGTACTTGAACTTTAAATGTGTATGGGGAATTTTGTATAATGAATTATGTGAACGTGCTTTTTCAGGATTAATCCCTTTGCGTAAAGTGTGTGCTGTAAACACTACAAAATTTTTACTATGAATCGTAAAAAAAACTTGATATTAATTAAATCAAACAAATCTGATTTTACAAAAAACTGAAGGAGTAAATTATTAAATAACACTTCTTGTTATTTACAAGTATAAAGTTGTTCTGTTTATCCTACATATAGTTTAGAAAAATAGGAATCACATCTTTATCTGACAGCGAAGTACTTACTAATAAAAGAGACATCTTAAGGAGGTTTGGGAGAAAAGTTAAAAATGGAGAAATGTGCCAAAAAATGTATGTTATATTTGAGAATGTTAGGAATGCACATGAATTTTTTCAGATTTTTCACGAGGGAAAGTTTTTGAGAAAAAATTATGATATATTGATAGTTTAACACGGTCTCTTATGAGAGAGTAAGGTTAGGTTTGCCTGTTAATTGAAATTAAGGTATATTCTAAATGTGCTGGAATACAAAAAAAAAAAACGTTTTCGTAGATAACTTGATAAAAAAGGAAGATGCTTGACAAAAAAAATCAAACCTTGCCAGGCATTTTTCAAAAATATAAGCAGTTACAGTCATTCAGTTTCAAGTTTGTAGAGTGCAAGAGGAGGTGCGCGGTAAAGGGGGCCCAGATGCGAGGGCAGGGGAGACTCCCTGTTCCTCGCCTCTCTGAATGATACTCTCAAACCGCCTTAATTGTGTGGGGGAGAATGTGCGAGGTCTCTCAAAATGATTGCAGGAACTGCGAAGGGGAATATTTGGGGAGCTGTGGGGGGCTTGTCACCCACCCTTGCCAAATAACGAAATAATATTATAATACTGGTTACCTTATAACTTCATACATAGATTTCAAATAAATGAAAAATTTTACTAAGTTAAATGTTCCTAACAAAATCCATATAATTGGAAAAAATATGCGTTACTGTAATTTTGACCATATGAAATACTTTCATCCTTGACAATTAAAACGTCGATGGCCAAAATGTGAAAGTAGTAAAAGCGTACCGTTTCTTACATTTAATATCATAAAGTTATACTAAAAGAACAACATAACTTTATGCTATAGATATGAATCTTAGTTATTGGACACAATGTTTGAGAACAATAAAATAAGGTTAGGATAAAAAATAACAAAAATCACAGAAACCTAGTGCCTATAAAATGAGTACTTGTAACATAGTAAGTAAAAGTAAATTTAAGTTGAGAAGGCTAAATAAATAAAGTGTTTTAAGGAGTTTCTTTAGTCTTGTCATCAAATTGTCTGCCCATCTAACCTTACCCAAATTGACCTTCGCTAAACTAACAAACAACAATTTGTTTCTCATCTAAAATTCTCTTTGTAGATGGCAGATGCTTGGCGTGCACATACCGAGCTAAGTTCAAAGAGATCTCCGTTGGGATAAACCACAACATCGACGACCTCCTTGTCGGCATCCTAAGCCAAATCCGACTAAAAGTCAACCAGCACCAGAGCCAAGCGGCCAGTAGCGGTAGCACCGATAGCGAGCACTGGTATAAATCGCGTGGAGTCGTCCGTGCGAGCATGAAAGCTCGACAGATGCTCACTTGGCTGTTTGGTAAAGAAGATCGCAAGTTTCGTAACTGCGAAAACTTGCATGTACTGTAAAGGCTCGTCTCTTTATTTTTTTATTTATTTTTTTTTTTTTCAAAATTGCTACTTCTTATACGAGTACCGTTGTTTCTTCCATGTCAACTGTAAAAGAGGTTTGCGTGAGATTTTCAAGCTTTATTTGTTTTCTTTATTTTTATCTTTATTAGTATTATTATATTAGTTAGTGTGTATATATTTATATATTTGAGGATGCGAAAGTGAAATCCCTAATTCATATTCGTGCTTTTATTAATGACACACGAGACACGGGATACTCTCACAAACAATTACCAAATTAGGAAAGTTTTTTTATACTGGACCACAAATGTAGGACTTTGACGGTTTTGTTTATTTGATCACTATCATTATTGCTATTTTTGTCCATGTTAGTATGTATTAATTTTTTATGTAAAAAAAATAAAAAATTACACGATTTTGTAAAATGCTTTTTCCTACTGAAACTCGAAAACTTTTTTAATCTGTATGTTATTATATCTATAACTCTAAAATTTATCGACGTTGTTTTGAATGTGTTTGTTGTTTTTTTCGTAGTGGCAACATTATAAACTAAGATAAATAATTATTACCAACAAAGACAATTTACTTTAATCATAGGTTCTGATTCAGATGTACTTTCAAAATTATGTAAACTAAAATACAAACATTTGTATCCTGAAAATTGTATTATAACATAGTCTGGAAATGTAAAAACAAATTATAAAATAAAAAACAGTTTTAAGTTGTAAGTAGTTATGATTGCGGAAATAACAGATTAGTTTGTTTATTTTTTATTAAAAAAAAAGTATTTTCTAAACACTACTATTAATTGTTCAGCGAATATAGTATCTTATGTGTCTCAGAACTGTGTTCAAAATTATTCTTTTCAGAATATTGAAAAGTTATTCATTATGCCAAAATGAAAAACTCTAAAATTTTTTTATTGTTCTAACCGAAATTCTATGTTTCATAGTGTGAGCTGTACCAAATGCCAAAATAAGTAATAAGTAAGGTAGAAAAATAATCATGATCACTTCAAAATAATGGGTAAACATGCTTAAAAATTAAAAAATATCTTGTAAAATGCACAAAAAAGTTTCTATATAAATTATGTTGAAAGTTAATAATATTTTTTTTACATTATTCATATAATAGTATAATACATGGATAAACTATTTTGAATTAATATTTGATTTTGACCTGAATCATGCATCAAAATCATAAAATAATGGTAATTAAACACAAATCAAATATTTTACGTGCCTACTCTATCTATTTTTGCATGTAATTCAGATTTAATAGTAATTACTAAACGATTTCTGAACACTTCAGAATAAAATTTTCCCAAAAATACAATATAATTGCTTTCCCAAAAAAGTTTTTTTTATTGCAAGTTAAACAATACAGTACTTAATTAAAATTGTTCCAGCACGTATGGTTGTCACGTTTCAAGAGAATTAATCTTACTATAAAGTATTTAAAGAAAGATTTACACATTTCTTTTAAATTCTTCAACTATTTTTTTTCTAAATTGTTTTTAAGAATATAATGCATTATTCTTTATGTAAAAAACTTAGTCAAGTGCTGTTACAAGTAGTCTTGTACACAGCACACATAATGCTCAACCAACCCAATTGTCATTCATTTTTATATTTAAATATTAATCGAAGCATGTTGTAAAAAGTACATATTGCAGTAATATTCTCGAATGATCCATGTAACATGGTATTATTAATTCACTGTCAAAAATAAATCGTTTCTCAAAGCCCAAAAAAAAGAAAAACTTTATGAATTTTATAATTAACTGTATGTCTAAGAACAGATATAACATAATATTTAAAAAACGTTCGATTTACAAGTAATTTTTTTACTAATTGTGTAATTGCGTTGACTTCTACGAGTTGATAAACAAAAAATTATATGTTTTAACATAAAATCATTACAGCTAAAATGTGACCTAGACAATCAAATCAATTGTACAACTGGAAAAAAGCGCCCAACTTAATCTCTCATGAACCACTGAATCTGTGGCTCAAGTACGATTATAGATTATTAAAAATGGGTATACCTTCATTACAAAAATTAAAAATAAAATAAACCACTATTTACAGCCCAAAGGAACCATATGTTTTGCAAAAGATCCATGATCTTTTCTGTGTTTGTAAAATAGAATATGCAAAATACGATTACTATTATCTTTTTAGATTACTTTTTGACAAATTTATTTTTGAACAGTATGCATAATATTAAGGATTTTTGTAAGACAATAATCTTTTACGTATTTGTCGACGCATGAACTTGTTGGATAAAATAATTTTATAAAGTAAATATGTAACGAAAAATCGAAATTTCATCTGGTAATACGGTTGGGTTGTGAATGAATTTTTTAACATCTTTTACTACCATTAATAGGAATTTTACATGTAAAAACATTTATCTTTACCACCCAAAAGAACTTTAAAAATTGCCAATCAAAAGTCATTCTAGTTTTTTGAGCTATATGTTTTAAATAATGTTTAGTATTAAAATGTTTATTATAAATAATTCTAATATCAACACTGATGAAATTTTTTAATACCAAAATATCAGTTTTAATAGACACAAGTTATTTCTACGGAATTATATATACACATGATGTATTTGTATGTTAAATGTAAACAAAGCTAAAAACGAGAAAAAAAGGGAACAAACAAATTCATTAAAAAAAGTTTGAACATATTTTAAAAAAGTAACGTGTATGGATCTATCGTTTGATCACACGTTAGCAACATTTATATGTAATACAATAAAGAAGTTTACATTATATAAAAAAAATTATATGTAATCTACGTTGTGTATGTTAACGTATTATATATAAAAGCAAATGAATACTTATAAAATAAAATACTATTGATTCAAGCCTTACTGAGAGAAAAATTGTTAAAAAATATTATTGCTTTGTGTTTTTTAAAATATATAATGATGTATGGTACCTGAACTGATTTTTTTTCTTATTATTCATTCTACAAATTATTAAAACCTCTACTTGTCATATAGCTACTGGTTTATAAAACTTTTATATATTTTTGTCTTCATACTAATAAAATTTAAAAAATCGCTGTTTATTCATTGGTACAATATTTCCTAATTTATTTTTTTAACTTAATTTGTAATGAATTGTTTTCTTGTATCAAATCGTAAAAATTTTTTATTTTTAATAATGAATCATAAAACTATCACCCACATACCCAATATTCCAAATTATTTGTTAATACATTTTTTGTAGAAAATTTTTAATGGTACATACATAAGCGTAAGACTGCATCGATTTCGTTTATAAGATTTAAAATATATGCGTTACTTTCTTTGACAAATCCTGAAATTTAAAGTTGCTAACGAGTAAAAATAAACCTGAAAAATTTAGGATCGAATGGGTTTTTTTTTTAAATCTTTGAACTAGCACGTACGGATACACCTGTTTTAATGACTATACTTAAAAAATAAATTCATTTGTGTTGATGTAAAATTTGTAACAATAAATCCTCTTATTCCAATAATCAGCAACCAAAAAGCAGGCTGCTCAGAAAATTTCTTACATTCTTCACCCCTTAATAGCCGTTTAAACCAAAATATGCTCTGAAGTAGCTAAATTTGCCTTTTTCACGTCACTATGTTGAGGTCATATTTACGCTTCAAATACCAAAAAAATTCCCTATTATCGATATTTTTTGTAAAACTGATCTCCCTGATGTTGAAAATTTATTGCCCTTACAGGATCCTAAACAAAATATGCTATAGTTTTGAAAAAATTATATTTACGTAGTCTAATAAAACGGTGTTAAAAAAAATAATAATAATAACTTAATAAAATAAACATGCAGAAATCGGGTGCAATAACTCTGCAGGGATTACTGCATACTTACCTAGGGTCTGATCAGGGCATTCGATATCTCGCTTCAATAAGCAGTTTTTTCGATAATCCCTATAAAATAACCAAAAATAACGATAATGCGCATGCGTAGTTTAGGGACTATCGAAAAACCTGCTTACTTGAGGCGAGATATCGAATGCCCCGATCAGACCCCTGCAGCTGGGGCTCTATCACGGCTTTCGATATCTCGCAAAAGTCAGTATTTTTTTCGATAATTTAAATAAAATTATGGTTGAACGCATAGGCAGTCTAAGAATTATGAATTATCGAGAAAAATACGTACATTTGCGAGATATCGGAAGCTGTGATAGATCCCCTGGCCCCTGGGGTCTAATCGGGGGACTCGATATCTCGCAAAAGTGAGCATTTTTTTCTATAATTTCCATAAAACAATGGCTGAGCGCATGCGCAGTCGTTAAATTATAGAAAAAACTGCTTACTTTTGCGAGATATCGAATGCCCCGACCAGACCCCGGTGCAGCATTTTTTGCAGGATGGTTTCGTGTGGACACAAATGTAACTACCAAAAATTCTACGTGTTAGGGCTTAGTATTGTACATAGTTCCATACAAGATACCCTTTTTAAACTTTTACGTAATTATTGAAAGGATCTTATTAGTCATGATAGCTACGCATAAATATCTCTATTATATTTTATTGAACATTAATACTTAAGTTATTTATATACGCTGCTGAAAAGTGATTGATTTTTTAAAATTTCAAATGTTTAATTAAATACCAAAATGCATATAATTTGTAATTGAAATGGTATTTCTTTGCTTGCAGGACTTGTAATTTTTTGCACTTGAGGTACTTGCATTTTTTCAAGTAAACATCTGTTGTATTTAATTTTTTTAGATATTTATTTATTACATAAATACCGTAATGTCTATTGATAATAAAGTTGATTATTTTCAATTAGAAACAAAACGAACTGGCTTGCCATGGCATGAGAAATTTTCTGACTTTTTTCAGCATGGTCTCGGTACTGTCATAGTTTCCAAATACTGTAGTTTTTCTTGTTGGCGTATGAGCTGGATTTATTTATAAAATCAATCCTGCAGTTACTTCTGCATAAGTTCACACCTACTTCGCAGTTTAATCCTAAGTTTTCCTAGGAATTCCCGCCGGTTTTTTTTCTCTACGGGACTATGCATTATAAACCAACTCTAATGGATTCATTTTATAATGGTCAAGTCATCGAAGAAACACATTACTCAGGTAGCAAGCACTAACCTTAGTCAAATTTTGTTCTCAGGATATTTTCAGATCTCACCATAAACAGCCAAAGCTTTTTAGTAATTTTACCATCTGCCCTCAATCACCACAGGATTCGACTCGGGCTCTTTACCGTATTCACCAAAACTACATCAATTTGAACGTTGCCGAACCAGTTAAACTCCTATCAACGAAATTCGGCACCAATGATTACTCAAACCTGTCGGATTTTCAAGCATCACCTTAAGATTACGAATACTACGAAATTAAACACACAGCCTAGCTAGTCTTGTAAATATTTCTTTCTCATTTCTTTTGGTGTGTTTAATTATTTTTTGTAAACCGCCTTTCTATTTTTATTTACGATTTTCCCATGTACAATTCACCTAATAACTTAACTGCTGATTTACCCTTAAAATTGTTACATTGGAATATTAAAAGTATTCTTTCTAAGATGTACGAATTTAAGAAAATTTTTACTGGCTCTGACACTATTTTCTGGATAGAATCGTTTCTGAAACCTGAAAATACTTTCAATATTCCTGATTTTTCTTCGTTCAGAGAAGATCGCACCACAACCCCTGGGTACTGTAGTGTTTATTCGCAACATTTATAATTATAAGGAAATAATCACACCTTCTTGTGACGATTTCATAGAACTGTGTGGCATAAATATAAAAAA